AATTCCATAGTTATTGCAGATTTCTCTACTATTGATTATATTGGAACGAAAAAAATAAACAGTTCTTAGGTTTTATTCGTATGCAGTGACTTCTACGTTTAAACTTTCCACAGGTTTTATGAAATTTCATAAATTCCCCTCAAACTTTGAGAGAATATAAAGGAATCGTTATACATCGGCGAGACTTTCTGAATTTATAGAAGAATTGATAATCTGACCAACAGCTTATCAGATGAAATAAACATTAAAAATGGTGGGAAAACGGCAATAAATCCTTATAAATTTTCTGTTCCTAAACAGGTACATCATTGCATTAGAATTTGCTCAAGCAAATATTTGTTGAACGATTAAATTACTGGTTTAATTTAATTAATTACCCCGTGAATTGCTACAGGATGACGTTATCCAAAAGAGCAGTGTTGAATTGAAAGTAATTAGTTTCATACAAATAATCAACTCACCCTAGCCTGATCAATGTCCTCAATTGTTGCCTTCCTAGGTTGTCGCTTGCCATGTGCCCCAATCCTCTGTAGCCTTCGACAAGCAACGGTAGCGTAATGACTAACTTGAACATGAATCGGCCACTTGGCGACTTCAGGAAACTGAAAATTGGGATCTCTATGTCGATTCATGTAGCCCTCGAGACAAGGCTCAAAGGTGGCACTAGGGGGTACAAAAGCAAGGCACACAGCCATTAGTTCCCAGCCTCGTCTAAGGCTCTCTTTCCTCGGATTTTCTGTCGTCTGTCTGCAAATCTGCAGATACAGCTCATCCCTCAAGGGTGGCTTTGAGAAAACAGTATTGACTATTTCCGTAGCAACACCATCCAATGTCATGCCTACATTCGCTTTTCTGTCACCCATGTAAACTTGGACAAGTCTGAACAAGTTGCAGGCCTCTCTCTTCAACAATTTTTCACCCTCGACAACGTTGAGCATCGGACGGGGAATCGGATCCTTCGTCCAACTCAAAATGTCCCGGACACTGAATTTTTTTCTGAACAGCAATCTCAGTCCTTTCGGCCTTCCACAATTTAAATTCAAATTGTCCTGCGCGTATTTTTCAATGTCTCCACCACTGGTTGAGTCGTCTCTCCTGTGATCATCTCCATCAGCTATATCATAACTTTTGACTAGGCTTGTGAATACATTGGAGGCGGGCAAGGAAATTGGCCTGGTGGAACCGACAGCACTCGTTTCTCGGATTTCAGGATGGGATGAGGGAATTGTCGAGGTTTGTTGAGGTGTTAAAGAGGGGGCCAGAGGGGCTGTTGAGGGTAAAGTCGCCTGAGCTGAACTTGCTGCTTGCGATCTTGTAAGGGTCTCTGCTGTATTGTAGTACGTTGCCAGACCCGCTGTATCATAATTGCCCAAATCTGTGGGAAACCCAATGCGTTAGT